ATTCTTCGTCACCTGGGGGAATCGACCCTTCTGTCTCCGATGGTGTTCTCGGAATTTCGATAAAATACAGGTTTACAAAGTTAAAGCCGGTTTTACTCATTTTTGGGAGTCCGGGAGGGCTAATTTGCATAATGTGAAAAAATACAAATTTCCTCATTCTTGCAAGTTGCACGCGCGCGTGTGGTGGGTCGGGGGTCCGCAGGACCCCAGCTATCGGAAAGTCAAATTTCTCATGCAAAGGCCGCATTCCAGCGCCCAAGGCCCGCGAAGCGGGTTTTGGGCGCTGGTAGTAGGATAAATCGGAAGGCCCGCTGGGTCCTAAGATCCCCGATCTATTTGTCGGTTGGGGGGGACATGTGGGTTTTATGTTCATGGCCCTGATCTAAAAGAAATGCCGACAATCGGGGCGAGGGCCCAGCCAATTCGTTCATCGCGCAATGGCACCGTATTCTATGGGAAAGTTTTGGATTGAGCGTTTTCTCTGAAAGATGTTGTCTCAATGACGTCCATTTAGCTTTTTAGAGGCTGGTGCTGTAGCATTATCGGGGGGGGGGCTTTCCTTTTCTTATCCTTTCTTCCTTGTCTTTTTCTTATTAAACCGGAAAAGAAATGGATAAGTATTTTAATAGTGTGTTTAGCAACATTTAGCAATATTTCAAGTTGAAAAAACGTTCCAAAAACGTTCACAACGTTGTTAAAACGCCACATTTTGGTCGAAATCGATCATTTTCAGCCGACAAATCGGTATTTTTTTGCTTTTGTACTCAAAACTTGTAAGTTTTTACGTTTTAGGAATGGTAAAAAATAATTTGTACATCTTTCTCGATGCATATCATAAAAATCGTGTACTTAAAGTGGGTTGGTCCCCCCGATAAAGCAAAAGAACCGTCCAAAACCTAAAAAGACTCACAAGTTTGGCTTTGGCTGAGAATTCGATATTTTTGTGTTTTTTATAATTGTATGAATTTTGCCTAGAAATGTATTTTACAAACCTCTCCCTTACAAATTCCCACAATATATTGGAAAATCTGTTCTCTCACCTTGTTCTCTTAGCCATGGCCATGTGGCCACGACCGGAAGTACCGATGATTCCGCCCCGACGCCCATTTGCATGCCGACCTCTCCTCTCGTATGTCGGATTAATGCTCACCCAGGTGCCCCCGGACTAACTCACGATTCATGGCAGGAACTGGGTGGATGAATTGGAAACCTTATGTTCAATATGCCAAGTCATTCATGAAGCTCGGCTTGATTCTAGAAAGTTAGAAGAGCTTGGAGTTTTACACCTTAAGCTTTCGCTTCAATAAAAGTATGGAAAGTACCTTAAAACAAATTGACATCCATTTTTTTTTGTTCCTCAGCAACATTTTTGTGGTGTTTACCGTTACTCTCACACTTGAACTTTTTGTACTTTAGCATTTCCGGGGGTAAGGGTTGGGGGGACTTATACGTCTAGAAAGGCCTTGTAATAACTAGCAAGTATTAGAAAATTTAAAATAGGAAAATATAACTAATTTAAAGTGGAAGAACATATTAAACTAAATGAAAAAGCACTAAAATCGGCCATTTTGTTCGAAAAAGCGATATTTTTGTATTTTTTGTACTTATGCCAAATTTTTCATATATAAATAGAGAAAACCTTCCGAACACTTTTCTCCCTTACATTTCAGAAGAATTAGATGGTATCGGCAACAAAAAGCCCCCCCGGAAATGCCAAAGATCCAAACCGTTAGGCACTGCTTCACCGGCTTCACCGTTTGGTTTTTGTTGTGTATTTTCGAGCGATTTTTCTTGCCTCATCTTCCTTTCAATTGTCTATTTTTGCTTGTATGTTCCATTCAATTTTCTTGCAGGTTTTTGCCCATTGGATGTGGTGATCGTCCCGGGCGGACTTCCAATGTGGGATGGCGGCGGGCGGGCACGAACCGCCGTCCCACTCCTACTCCTCACCCTCCTCCTCATCCAATCTATCACGGTAGGTTATTCAGCGTTTTATCAGATCTTAATCTATAAACCACGTATTGTATTGATTGGGTTCCTAGGTATCGGCTCGGACGATAGCGTCAGATGACACACTGGTGCGGACGAGTCTCGGCGATATCCGGGGCCTCAAACAGGTACTTTTCAGTCCCCCTTCCTTTACAAGCACAGCCGTACAGAGGAAGCCGGTAATTTGAGGTCCAAAAGTACACTTGTAAATAGGCGCTCTCGTACGCGTGACGCCCGTAGCTTTTTCCAGCGTCGAAGTATAAATTTTCAAAATAGAATTTAATAGAAGAAGTGTGTAAAAGAAGTGTTTTTCTAGCGTCGAAGTGCAAAAAGCTTTTTACATCTTTCTTTTTCAGACCACCTCCGGCCTTCAACTAACCGCTTTTCTCGGCGTCCCCTACGCGAGGCCACCCGTTGGCGGCCGAAGATTTGGGCTGCCGGAGGTTCCTTTTTTTTTGAAAAATAATCGCATCTTTCTTTTTTAGAAAGTGCCAGCCTGGAATGGAGAGTTGGAGGCGAAACACCCGTCGCGGACTTGCGTCTACACCGTCGACAAGATGTTCCCCGACTTTCCGGGCGCCGAAATGTGGAATCCACCTCCCAGTGTTGGTTTTAAATTATTTAAAGGCCTTTGGAATTGTGTATTATAAGTATTCGGTGTTGTTTTCTTTTAATATCGTTTCTTAGGGTCAATTTACTCTTTTTAGAGCGCACTATCGGAGGATTGTTTGAGTCTGAATATCTGGGTACCCCCGAAACACGACGGGTCGGTGATGGTATGGGTGTATGGAGGCGGTTTCTTCTCAGGTAAGTGGGTGAAAAAAGCTAAACTGTTCTCTTACGATTCCTAAACGCAAAAAGTTCATAAAATTTAATGCTTTAAAAGTATTCAAATATCGATTTTTTTTTTCGACAAAAATTTCAGATTTTGAAAAGTCTCTATTTTAGAGAGTTTTCAACTTTAAATACAGTTAAATTTTATTGAAAACACTACTGAAACGCTTGCCATTACATTACTAGGCATTTCTGGACTCGTAGGAAAAAGTTAAGACCCCCCCTCCCCGATAGTGCGAGAGAAACGGATCGATTTTAGGTTCCCCCTAGCCTCGATCTCTACGACGGTTCGGTTCTTGCCGTGAAGTACAACAAGATTGTCGTTAATATTAACTATCGGTAAGTGGCAACTTACCAAGTGCAAAACCCTCCAAAGAATACAAAAAAAGTAATGAAAAAGCCGTGCATGATTTCAGACTTGGTCCTTTCGGCTTTTTGTACCTCGGTGGCGACTCGGGCATCAACGGGAATATGGGCTTGATGGATCAGCAGGTCGCGCTAAGGTGTGTGAATTTTATTAAGAGGATTATTACTATCAAATACCGTTAAAAGTATGAACTACGAACTACAAACAACAAACTTCAGCTGGGTCCACGAGCACATCGGCTCGTTTGGCGGGGACGCGAAGCGGGTGACGCTTTTCGGCGAGAGCGCCGGAGCTGCTTCCGTTACAGCACATCTTCTGGCGCCGGATTCGCATCGATTGTTTTCGAAGATTATCGCGAAGGTCAGTGAAAAGTTTATTGCCAAAATTCCGTAAAAAATAGAAAACGTATTCCCATTTTTCAGAGCGGCGCAATCACGAACACTTGGGCGTCACGGACCAAAGAGACGTTGCTTGAAACATCATTACAATTGGCCAGACTCGTCAACTGCACAGGCACCGGAGCTGTAGATAGAAAAGCAATCGGAAAGTGTCTGCGCGCTCTGCCGGCTCAAGTCCTCCAGGTATCCTTATTTTGTTTCCGGTTACTTTGCGTTTTAGGAACACAACGATCTGATCACGAACAGCATCGACTTGCCGATGACGTTTCCGTTCGCCCCCGTGGAGGAGGATGACCATTTCTTTAAGGTATAGCCTTTCTTTTCTATAACACCCGTTTTCAGGGGAATTTATGGGAGCGCATCCGGCGACGGGAATTTAAAAAGGACGTTTCTGTTGTGATGGGCACAGTAGCTGATGAAGGCACTTATTGGCTGCCCTATTTCCTGTAAGGAATCTTTATTTTGTCGATATCAGCTTCCATTAGTTTTGAAAAGAAGTTCGGCTTCGCCTACAATCACACGATCTCGGCCGAGGACCCGCAAAACCGGGCGCGAATCGACAACGAGCAGTTCGGGAAGTCGATTGGGGCATTTTTGCCGTATTTCGGGAACTCGGCGCTCGTACGTCATTCTCTGATGCATGCATATCGGCATTTGTCGCCGTCGCCGGATGAGAAGTGGGTTTTCGAGATCTTTGTTAGTATTATATGGATTTTTAAGTAACAAAAGCTTTAGCGAGCGACTGCGCGATGGAGTAGCTCGATTCCTTGGCGACTACTTCTTCACGTGTGGCGTTTTGGAGTTTGCCGATCTGCTGGCCGATCACATTCACGGGCCGCTCTACATGTATTACTTCACAATGCGGTATGAAAGTTATAGCAGAGTAATGAAACAGAAGGCTAAAAAACTGCAGACCCGCTGACCCTCGCCTACTGTATATCGGCTCCTGGTTGTGCTACGGTGTTGTAATGTACACTAAGATATTCGCCAGTTCAAGACGAACATTTTGGTATACTTTACACACCTGTAGACAAACGCGGAGTCGAGTTAAAAAAGAAAAAGTATATAAATATACAGAATTAACAAAAGAAAAAAAAATGAAATGAAGGTACTAGACTACAAAACACCTAGGTTTATAACTTAAAAATTCTACCAGGTAGATTAAATCGTAAAAACGCGCGGTTTCTAGGTCCTCCGGCAATCCGTGGCCCCGCTGGATGGGTGTAATGCATGGCTATGAGATCGAGTACGTGTTCGGCCAGCCCTTCCGCCGCCCTATGCTCTACGCCCCGGAAAAACTGGCGGTAGGACTTACCATGAAACGTTATGAAAACTTTATTATATATAGTAGGATTTGTAATCATGAAAAAGTATGTACAAAACAACGATAGCTTATACAGCCTCTCGGCTTACTCCGGACATAAGCTCGGCTCGACGCATTTTCCATCCGGATTCCTCACAAAACCCAGGCTGCACTCGCAAACGTTTTTCTTGTCGCATTCGACCGGCAAGGCGCATATCTTTAGATTAACGGTTTAAAGAATATAGTGATTTTTAGATTAAGTGATTTTTGCATTAATTGATTTTTGATACCTTGGCCGGCTCCTCGCCACACTGGCGCTCACAGCCCGTCTCGCAATACATGAACCGCTCGTTCGAGGGGCAATCTGAATTTTATAGCTTGAAAAGTGAAATCTTAGACGATTTTTTTTAAATCTAAAACCCCAAACCTGGTGATTTTAATAGCTTCTAAACGTGGTTCGGGGTATTCTATAACGTTAAAAACTCACAATCCCACCATCTCGCCTCGGCGACGACCATCAGAAAGCCGAAAATGATCACCGATAGCTGTCGAAACATTTGTGTCGCTGTTCTCGCGTATTGTCTCGGCCCCGCCACCACCGTTTATATTGGCCCGAGCATTGCGGTGCCCCTAAAAAGCTGTAAACAGGCGCCGAGTTTTTGGCCTCGCGCCTCAGGCCGGCAACACATCACACGCCAACGTGAAATAAACCGAAAGGATAAAAGAATTTTTGACAATTTTGTTGATGTGAAGATCAAGAACAATATTTATCAATTTTCGAACTGGCACAGAAAGTGTCGTTGAAAGTGCTGGAATAATAAAAACGACGCTACTAGAAAAAAATATTAATAAACGAAAAACCAAAACAAGTATAACTAAACCCATTTCAGACCGAGCAAAAATTCTCGGCGGCGGTGATGCAGATGTGGATCGACTTCACGAATACCGGGTGGGTACTTTTGCCGGAAAATTACAATCTATTTATCCGGCTCGTTTTGAAAATGCCGAAAGGCAAGGATTTCGTGATTTTTGGCTTGCAATCTATGGATGGGATAACTTTTGTATTGGAAATTTCGACAATCTGACAAAAATTCCGTTTAGAATGCCAGCGTACTTCTGGCCAAAGTACAATCGCGTGGAGAAGAAGGCGTTGGTGCTATCAGAAGACTTGGCCGTTGGTGTGCATCGGATCACTGAAGATGTTCACGGCGCGCAATGCCGATTGTTGGCCGAAGCGAAAAGTCTTGTTGGGCAGTGTTAGTTTCTCTACACACTTTATTCACTGTAAAGTTTAGGAACTAGGTACTTTGGTTCTGTGACATTGTCAGGGGGGGATAAAGTTTTTGTTAGAATTCACCAAAAATCTATTAAAAATTTAAAAATATCGATTTTGCCAAGAAAAAAAATCGCGATTTTCGGTCAAAATTTTATTTTTTAAATATTTTTCGAATCTTCGAAAGTTTCCCCATTGAAAGATAGCTAAATTTTACAAAAAAAAATCGATGAAAACAGTACCACTTTCAGTACCAATCAACGGGGTCGAATGCCGATCCCGACGCACCGGCCCTCAAGCCGTCACCGCCTCTGCCAACCCCTATAATCTGCCCGTGTTGTTAGTTCTCCTCATCGTAGCGCCCTACGCTCTCTTATAAACAGCATATTGTTATGATAAGTTCTAAAACTCTTCTAACTTTGTTGATATCCCGATTCCCGAGCCAAACACTCTCCTCTACCAGAGCCCCCGTTCCATGACATGTGCACATATCAAACAACGAATGATTGTGTTTTGCCTCCCGGATCGAAATCGTGCTAAGCTTTCGCGTCTGGTTCTTTAAATTTTGAATTTTAAACTCCATAGCAATTTCAGGACTTTAAATTTGCTTGACAAGGGATGGTAGCGCATCAAAAAATGGATAGAATCGGCGATAATCTACAAGCGCATAAGATACACACACAGTACCGATAAACGAGTACTGTGTAGTGAATCGTACTCGGAATCGGAGAACGTGACGATACACTGTACGCGTCGAAGTTCTGCGCTCTAGACATTATTTTCCTATTTTTGAAAACATACCGTCCCTTTAATTTTTCCTGTTTATAACCGAGCCAAAATTTCTTTCCATTTTAAAGGGCAGTAGGGCATGAAAAATCCTTAGCATTGCGAAGAGCTCACAAAATCAACACGTGCTGCATAGCGACACGTACTCGAGATGGGAGAACGCGACACTACACTGTACGCGCCTATCTACTGCTCTCTAAACATTGTTTTCTATCTATTTTTGATACGACACTATCCTTTTAATCCATCCTTTTTGCCCGAGCCAAAATTGTTTTCATTTTCTTTCTCTCTTTTCATTTTGCTCCCATTCGGATACGGTTTTTAGATCGGAAGCCAAGATGAGGGGAATTCTAGGGGTTTTGACACTGTGTCTGGCCATTTTTAATAGAAAAATCTAAAAATTGATGACATTACCAAAGTCGGCAAAGCTGTCAAAATCCCCGCACAATTCCCATAAAATTCCTCGCTCGTTGTGCCCTTCTCTCGCCATTCCCAACCCCCAGCCCATCTCACTTCACACCACCACCACCACACAATTTCTGCAACTTTCTTCAAATTTTTCGACTTTCCCGCCCCCAAAAAATTTGCCAGTTTTTGCGACCGAATAAATTATCTATGCTTTCAACAAATTGGACACGTTTTTCGGGTTTCCTGCGCCTCTTTTTTGCGGCACGACAATATTTGCACAAGCGATGCCGCGGACTCGCGGGATGCCGTTAAAATTGACCCCCGCGCGCCCGGCTCGACATAGCTATTGATCTTTTTTCGGGGTTTGGAAACATTTGATGTGTTTTTGAGGTTTAAAAAAGTTGTAAAATTCAACGTTTTGTAAAGTAAAGATTTCTGAATTTTCCAGGGTCATTTTTGATAGTTTAGATTCGATTTTAAGAGTAAAAAAGCTTCGGAAATTCACGGCGAATATGAAAAAATGTAAAATAAAGCTTTCTAAATTCGCGAGGATAGTTTTTTATAGGTTAGGTTTGATTTTAAGAGTAAAAACCTTCAGTAATGCGTGGGTAAAAAAAATTTTGTAAAATAAAGTTTTCTGAATTTTCTAGGACACTTTTGAGAGTTTTAAGCTATTTTCTGTCATTCTGGAGCTTTTAAAAGATTCTGTATAGCATTTCTAAGTGAGGTATCCATGAACAGATACAGCGAATACGTATACGCTGGTACAATGGTGCTCTCCATGGTGTCACATCGATCTTCTTCCTTTCAGGATTGGGATGGAGAAAGAGGCTAAAGAGGGAGAGCAAGAGAGACTAGAGAATGAGAGAGACGAGAAGCCGGGGGACCGGATAGAGATAATAGGGACGCAGGTCGGCAGCCAGCCGGCTGGCTGACTGGCTGACCACTGTCCGTTCCCGGAGAGCCCGCATATTCTTTTTACACCCCCCGCGCCATGAACCCAGCCGTTCCGCGCAACTCCCTTATTTGCGCTGTACTTTTGTTTTAAGGCTCCTTTTTGTTTGTACCATATTTTAGGCTTGTTTTGAATTAAAAAAACCTTAAACAGCGGATTAAAAAGAAGTAATTTCAATTTCTGAAACATGAAACGAGCTAAAATTTGAAAGTTCCGATCAGTTTTTTTCACAAACGAAAATTATTT